CTATTATTGTTACCTAATATTATTTCAGTAGTCTCTAAAGAACTGAAATGGGGGAAAAAAAAGAAAAACCACTACTGAAACATTGAGGCTTAGCAATAAAGCATATAATTTTCATCAAGGCTCAATATAACATCAAGATCATATCATCACACATGAATTACACAAGTTGATAACCTATGAAACGACAGTTTGACTGATGTGAATATTGAAATAATGTTGCATTTTCATATTCAATCTCTTAAGTACCTGATTAGCTATGTCTCCAGTTATCAAAACTTTTAACACATTCCAAGTCTTTTGATTCATGAAATGCAATTACAACTCTCTAAAGCCAAAGTTTCAGACTATAACTACAAGAAGATAACTGAACATCATGCACACCACTCAAATTATTAAACAAAATGGTGCACACACACTTCATTACTATCTAACCTAATTGACAGGAATGTTGAATAAAATGGTAAATGTGGTAGAAAAAGTAATTATGTATTTAAGTCAGCTCTTGACATGTTAGTCAATGGTTTTTATTATTATAACACACTCAGTTAAAGTAATAAATTAAAATTTATCAACTTGGGTTGAGAAAGTAGGTAGAATTGCTTTCTCAAATTAAACTCACTGTTCTGACAAACTAACTTCATGATTGTTATATATAGGACTTTAAATAGTTGACCAAAGTAGAAATGTTTTATTTACTGATATTTTCAAATTTATTGCTAAAAATAGTATGATGATATCTTAGCTTTCCAGAACTCTTGACTTTCATATTCAATTATCATTTTTGTAAGGACTTTCCAGGTCTAGAAATTGAACCTTTCATATTTTCCAGGACACATACCCACACTGCAAAGTTTTAGTTAATAAAACCAACTAGCTTGACTGATTTTTCCAATAATTTTTAAACAAATTACTTTTAGAAGTATTAGATTGCATTTTCTGAAAGCTTTCTAAAAAAACTTATTTTGTTAAATGAATGTTTTCAGAATAAAAAAATTTCCTATACTCATAATGCATTTCTGATAAGACATCTCCATACACACAGAATTGTTATATTCCTTGCACATCTGCCTAAGAGACTTCTATGCTAATGGCCTTGAGTTAACTCCCACCTAAATTCACTTTTAACATGAACTGCGCTAGCGTAAGATGACATCATGTGAAAATATCACTCCACCAATAAGAGGGCAAACAACCTTGATGCGTAGTAACTCCCCCTAAGCACCTGCACTTGAGGTAACTTCATTCTTAGATGAAGCAAGATAAAAAAAAAGGTGCAACAGAAGTGGGGAGAGCAGGTGGGAATATGTGAAGAGGTGAATACTTATCGGAAATATTTTCAGTATTGAAAAATGTTAACTTCCAAGATGATACTTCACCTCTTTACACACAATTGCTAGAATCATGCGTTGGAAATAGTGGAAGGTCTTTTGCAAATTTTAAACCTAGCTAAGATCCCTTTAGAAAGAGCTTGAAGGGAAAGCCCATGGACTGTGACATGATGAAAGAAACTCCACAGCGGCACACCCGTGGGAGACTGTATCTCATCTTAGGCCAAGATGAAAGGAGAGAAGCAATAGAGGCTCAAGTGTCTCAGGGATGAGCAGAATTCAAACATGGCCAACTGAACACCTGCACATAAGTAGCTGATGAGCCAATATATATATATATAGTTGATTAAGGTGTGATCAGATCTTGTGCTGTGTGCTCATTTCAACTCTACTGAACAGGCTCTGGCTACAGGAGGAGGGCACATCAGCTGTGTGAGGGGTGATCCATACTACACTGGCAGTGTTATCATAGCCCTACTTCTCACCATACTGCACTAAGCCCAACCAGCGAGGATTCTCCCACCACAGCAGCTAGGAACTGGTAAGTGGCAAAATCTCCTATGCTCCACCTGAAAAAGAAGGGGGAAGAAATCACATTGGGGAGATCTGGAGAAGTGCCCTGATCCCACCAGACCAATAACCAGAAAAGTTTTTACTGGAGACAGTGTAATGAGTGACTACAAAACCCTATTTCTAAAAGCAGGCAAGCATGAAACAAAGAAGAGAGCAGTCACTTCCCTGGTGCTAGCTTTTTCCATGATAATCCAAGGAAATGGTATGGTCTGGATTGGACAAGTGTGAAAAATTGTAGATTATGTGGATACCTCTAGTGGTCTTGCAGAACACCACATCTCACAGAGGGGACTGGTAGAGTCAAGGCAGATGGTTTGAGTGTTTTCCATTATACCTGGCCAGATGCAGATTTTAGGAAATAAGAATACCCTCAGCAACACCAGCCACCTGATGGAATCCAAGAAAGGGGATAAAGGCCCTGAAAAGGAAAATATATTTACCCTTCTCAAAAACAGTATGTAGGTGTAGTAAAAAACAGTGACTGGAAGGAACGTAAACCCTACAAGAAATGAAACAGCCAAATGATGAAGATAAAGTGAGATGGATGTGTACGGATTCATCCCCATTCCAGCTTAAAGGGCCTTGTCCAAGGGCCAATAAGAATGAGATGTAAGAAAGTGAGACACTTGATGAATCCAGTGTGGTGAAATTTGAAAGAATGATCACCCACCTGAGCAGCCGAAGTGGTAGGAAGAAAAGTCTGTTAGGAATAGAGGAAGGAAGTACACTGAAAGAGTATGCACTGAAAGCATAGACATTCAAAGACAATGACAACAGTCAAAAAGGAGAAGAAAGATAAAATAATAAACATGAAGTCAACAGCTCAAATGGAGCCTATGGAAGAGTGTGAAAGCCACAACAAAGTCCCAGTCAGGCATGGGATTAGGACGAGAGGATCAATAAAGAAGGAAGGGTCAGAATAAAGAGGAGAGGGCAGAGAACAAAACCAGAAAGCAACTGGAAATGCAAAATGTAGGAGATAAAGCCACCTGAATACCAGCAAGAGTGGAAAACTGGCAATGTATGGTAAAAAAACCAAGAGAAAGGGGTTGAAATGTGAGCCACAGTATGATAGTAGATGGACCAACATCAACTAACGCAATAAAATTAATAAACAGATAGAGGTGAAGGAAGACAGAAATGGGATTAGTCAACTTGGGAACACAAAAAGACTAGAATAAAACCAAGTGTACAAGGTAAATACCTTCTTTATGGCATTCTTGGCCAAAAAATCTGAGATGACATCCTTAAAACATTGAAGAAAAAAAAAAAGGAACAGAGGGGCAAAGAAAGGAAATGTAAATAATAAAGAGAAAAGGAGAGGAGAAGGAGTGAAGCGGAGAGATAGGTTGCAGGTAAGAATCTGAAAACCCATCTGATAAACAAAAATGGATACAAAAGGTTGGCAAAGAAAGACAGATGGGCCCCCACAGATACAGAGCTGACAAAATGGAAAACAGAACACAACATTAACAGTAGGAAGTGCAGAAAGTAGAATGCCAAGAAGCTGAGATGGGAAGGTGAGACACAGATTTAGCAGGCCTAGAAAAGGAATGGAATGTCAATGATGAAAAAGATGATGACTGATGCACGGTTGCAATAGTCTGGGTCTATAGAAGGTCAGAAACACCACTAAAGACCTTTGGGCAAAGAAATGGACCACAAAGAAAATTACAAATAGCAGTGTGAGGGAGATATACATTTGGTAAAAGAGCAACAAGTCCCAACAGCAGAGGAAACAAGTAGGGAGGTATAGAATGGAAGACGATTTATGAGTCAATGTAGTGAAAAGAAAAGAATAAACCTTTCCAGAAAATACTCCTCTGCAGAACCATGAGAATCTTCAATCAGAAGGTAAAATAGTAATGTAAGAGGGTGGTAAAAGAGACAAAAGCATAAAATGTGGGCACAATATATGGAAATAGAAGTTAAGGGGTACATCCCCTACACTTGGAAAAGAGAGTCCAATAAGTGGGAATCAAAAATTGAAAATGAAGAATAGTCGTAAGTTGGAATAAAACATTCACGTACACTAGGATGACAAGGCATGTTAGCATGGGTATGCAGTTGATCAAAAATTGAGATTGCACGGACCCAACATCAGAGGAAGGAGAGAGAGAATTGAACATAGTTGTGAAATTATCTCAAGGATGGGAATAGAAGAGTGAGGTTATTCTTCCACAAATATATCCATATATATGATGGAGGAAATAGCAGATTAACTCATCATTATCCCAGTTATGTTGAAATTGTGGAGAAGGAAAGTTGGCTGAACAGATAGAAGAAGGAGGCCCAGAGTGCATGAAGGAACCAACAGCACATGGAACAATGGATGTCATGTTCATCACAGCCCAAGAAGCCAAAAAAACTCAGGTCCCATGTTAGAAATATCATTGCTAGCATGGGATAAAGTAAGAAAAAAAACTGTTTGATGTTTTTCAACAATAAAAGAAACCAGTGAAATTGGAATAAATATTAAGTTTTTGTAAACTACTGCAAATCTCATGTAATTGAATAAAAAGTTTAAAACATGTCCATTCCCAGTGCCAAGGAAAATAATGAAGTTGCCTCGAAGGCAAGTGCTTAGGGGGAGTTAATGTACATGGAGGTTGTATCACCATCCTATTAGTGAAGGGCTATTGTCACATGATGATGTCATCATGCACCATGAAGTTCATGTTAAACACATGAATTCAGGTGGGAGTTAGCTCAAGGCTACTAGTGGCATGTAAGTCTCTTAGGCAGATGCATGTGGAATATAACAATTCTGTGTGAAGAGGGGAGGTATTGTCTCAGAAATTAGGCTTTTGATATGTTATCACTGTTCAACTTTCGGCCAGTAAAGAGTAATGTCTTTCTTTCAGTCAAACTGGCAATTAAAATGCATTTTATCTACACTGCAACCACAAAGTTTTTACAGGAATATGTCATGAACCATATCATATGCACAGTAACTTCAATTAGAAAAGTCTAATTCCAGTTTTGCTAAGAAATAGAAACAAGAAGCAAGTACGAAAGTATCACTAATGTAATTATTGAACTTTGTTCTTTTGAAAATAGAAGTAATTGAAAAGAAATGATAAATTAAGCAGCTCCTACCTGATTGGATGATTTTTTCAGGAAGACAGAACTTTGAGAGTGACATATCATTGGCTCAGTGCTGGAAATACTTATATTTGGATTTGCTCCATACTGTAATAGTGTCAATGTCAGATCATAAACATAATTCAGGTCCACGGGCATGCGAGCATTCTGGACCATGTCCATTAGGGCTAGAAGAATGTGTTGAGTTCTTTGCGAAAACCGCACATTAGGATCTAGCCCATGTTGCAAGAGAACTACTAACAGCTGACGAATGAAGGCAAAAGCATTGGCTTTATCCTCTTCTCGATTCAAAGTAATATACTCACTGGCAGTGAAGACTAGGACATGAAGAGGAGTCAAGTTACTACGAGAAGTGCAGTTAGGGTTAGCACCATACTTACATAGGAGACGCACCGAGTTCAGATAGAATACTTTTTTAGTATGAGTAAGACAATGAAGAGGATCTTTGTTAATTAATGGCACAAGGCACACCATAAGAGGTGCAGATCCATCCCTTCCCACGCAGTTGGGATTTCCCCCATGCTGAAGCAACATATCCAGGAGTTCATATCTAAACTCCCAGTCTCGAACATGTCGAAGAACACATGCAAGAGCACTGTTTCCCTGGTGATTAATGCTCGGACTACATCCATTTTGGATGAGAAACCTTACCATGTGAAGCATATCCCACTTATTCCAAGGTTGAGGTTCATGATCATAACCATATCTAGATTCTTCTAAAGCATACCTCACAATAAGTGCATGTAAGGGTGTATTTCCTAGACTATCAGGCTCATTTATCAGCTCCCTACAACCTCTATCCAATAGAACTTTAATGGTAGCTAAGGTTTCCTCTGCAGATTTCTTGCCCAATAACAAAAGAACATGTAGCACTGTCATCTGCTGAGTAGAAGTTCTAACAGTGACATCTGCTCCATTGTCAAGAAGCAGGCACAAAAAAGACAAGTCTTGCAAAGCAGCTTGATGGATAGGATAATACTCATCATAGCACTGATTGATCTCCTCATGACGATCATTCACTAGATTAGTAGCACACATATATGCACCCCTTTCACAAGACAGATGCAACAAGGGTCGTTTTTGTTGCCATGGTAACCATGTATCCTCTCCTTGAGATGCAAGCATGTCTAATACAGCATAATGGTCACCATCTATGGCAAAATATTCAGCTGACTGTAGCCTATCTGATGAACGGTCAGCAAACACAGAACCATGCAAAAGTACATTTCGAAGTTCACAGTTCACATTATGGGGGCCAGGAAAACACATGCGAGCTTCAAGGTCTATCCTTGCTCCATGTTTCAGAAGCAGCTCTACAATTTCTACAGAACCATGAAGTGCTGCTATATGCAAGGGAAAACTGCAAACTCCACGGTTCACATCACATCCTCTGTTTAATATCCATTTAACCAGCTCCACACGGTGTAGGCCAACAGCTCGCTGAAGTAGGTTGAACCCATCTGGCCCTGTGACTGATAAAATGTTTTCTCCCTGAAAGAAGGAATCTTTTTGAATTCCATGAATTTTTAACTAAATAAATATGTATATTACACTCTGAGCCACTTGTTTAATGAAGTAATTATACTTGTTGTAAAAATAAGTAAACCACAATAGCCAAATTCTCTCAAAAAAACTTGTATCTATAACTTACAACTAACAAGTGAATCAAACTCATATAAAGTTCATTCAAATCTTGATATTTTAAACTTTTGTTACCACCGAGAAAAACTAGAGTAAACTTGCTTAAGCTGAGATATGAAGAAGTGAACTATCTAAATATAATATTGAAATGACAAGTAAATAAAATGGAATATTGTCAAATATATTTACAAAATAAGCATTTCATTTCATACAAAAATTAGATCCCTAAAGATGGTGAGCTCTATAAAATTCACAGGACAATTATCAACAATAAAACAAACTTCAATATGTATACACAAAGTTTGTTCTGATGAAAGTGAATAGGCATTCTGAAATCTAGTAAGCATTATGAAATATATATAAGCAAATTTTAATTAAGTTTTTTAAACCATGTATATCATTGAGCCAACAGAACTATTTTTCTTCTAAAGGAAATGCTTTAAAAATATTGTTGGTAAAAGCAATAAAAAAAATAGTGAGCATGCCACCTTTTAATAAAAATCAAGAAGATATTTTTCTTTTCAAAGTTTTCATATAGCTGTACCAAACATCTTTAGTGATGTATACATTTGGTGAGAAATAAATTATAATTCACACATTTCAGAGACACTGTAAAAAAATATAGTGTAAAGAAAATGTATTTAACTAAAATACAAATTTCAATTAAAGTTGAAATGAATTAAAGCTTCACAAATCTTCAAAACATTAATATATATATATATATATATATATATACATTTGCATTTTTACATAAATATCTAATAAAACTTTTCCGAAAGATTTGGTGATGAGCATATTAAATCACAGATTTAGATGGATGAAAATATATGAAATAATCTTATTATGATGAAGAATAAAGTTCAACACACTTAATAGAAAAAATTAAACTGACCAAAATAAAGCAACTTTATCTCAAAAACAAACACATACTGCTAACATAGTATAATTGAATCCAACTACTGATGGAAAACATAAGTCAAGCAACACATGTAGAAAAACTAATCATATTGCTTACAGTTATAAGAAATTACTGTACATTTTTCAGACAGACATCCTCTTCCTCATTTGTAAAGTTCTTCCTCCCTTTATATATTATCACAATACCTTGTTATTGCTTTATGTATATGTTGCTTTGATCTTCACATTTCACAGTTGGCACATCCTTGAAAATTATGATTGGTGGTTTTTAAAAGGTTTAAGTTTTTCTTTTTTTTTCTCATGTTAAATATCACATAGAAATTAATTTCCTAACCTGAAAATGTATTTCTGATAGATACTCAGCTCCACACACAGAAATGCTTTTTCCTTCATGCACTTGTCTGAGATTTGCATGTCACAAGCCTTGAGCTACTTCCCACATAAATATATATATTTAATGTGAACTGTGATGGTGCATGATGATATCATCATGCAACAATAGCACTCCACAAATAAAAGGGCAACACAACCTACATGCTCAATAAATCCCCCTATGCACTTGTGAAAATTTGATTTTTAGGCAAGGCAAGAAAAAAAAGGTGCACTGGAAGTGAAGAGAATGAGTAGGAATGTGTGTAGAGGTATCTATCAGAAACACATATTCAGGTTAGCAAAATGTTAATTTCCAAGATAACTAACCTTTTCTCACAAAAATGCTAGAATCCAATCCTTCAGGAGCTCCATAGGGGCACACTCTTGGGTAGAGGAGTATATGAATGTGGTGGAAGAGAATGTGTGAAGCATCAATAGCATAGACATCCAAATGACAGTGACCACAGGTGAGAAGAAGAAGAAAAGATGTATTGAGAGAATGGTGGTACAAATAGCAAGAAGCCAATGGCTCAAACAGGACACTCTTGCACGTGTGTGCAAACCCACATTAAGGTCCCAGTCAGGCATGGAAGATAAACAAGGAGATTGGCAAAGAAGTACTGGAATAGTGGAGAGGATAGGGGAAGAAAGCACCATATGGTAATGTAAATAACAAACTATAGTGGACAATGCTGCCTGAAAATAAGCAATGGTGAAGATCACCAAACCATGGTCAAATAGTCAAGCAAAAAAGGCAGAAAAGTGGTTTACAGTAGGAAAGCTGGAAGGAAAGCAGTAATGAATGGACCAAAGATGAAAGACCTGCCACTGTTATTGAAAAACAGAGTGGAAGGCCAAAAGGAATAAAACAAGAAGGTTAAACACTAGGAAAATTTGGCCCGATTGGTGATGGACTGGATACATCCTACCCATGAAGTTGGAGGGATGATATCCCTTGATGAAAAAGGAGCATGTAAGGTTGAACCAATAAAGAGAGGACATTGGATAGAGGAAGATGGCTTGGATGTCAAGCAAGGAAACAGAGGAAACCAAGGGTGAGCTGGCCAAAGAGGCACCACCAGGAATGGTTTGACAAGAAGTGTCACATATCAAGGCAAGGAACTAGGAGGAGTCAAGTGGAGGATAGACATATAGAAAAAAGCTAGAACAGGCCTAGCTGAGAACATTGAAAGCCAGAGCTGAAGGATGAGGAACAAAGGACCAGTAGAGAAAAAGAATGCAGTTGAGAAGGGTGACAAAGGTGTCCAGGAGAAGTATTCCCAACTGAGAGGAAATGCAATGAAAGACCTGGATGTGGAGAGATCATTCCAAGGGTAGATGATGGCTGGCTGATAGTTGGTCCACAAAAAGGTTCATAGCTCCCAGTACACAACAAGCAACAAAACAGATTTGATGAAAATGAGCCCAGGATAGAGAGACCAACATTTGAAAGCAAAAACATCCAGAATGGGTGCATTCTAGATGGTTGATGTTAGAAATGACCATGGAATTGTCAGAGTGGATCATGACAAAGTGATTCATCAAAAGAGGTAGCTAATGGGATCATGCTCGACAAACAGCAAGAAAATCATGCATGTTGGTGTAGAGTGAGCTCTTGTACTTGGTACAAATGCCACAAGTTGTATTGTCATTCAGAGATACTCCTCAACCTGAAAGGAAAGCACCAATGAAGAGATAGAGATCTGGTCTGAGAATGATGGGGAAACAAAAGATGTAGCCTTGGGATGGTTTAACCACCATGACAAGTCCTCAAGCATAGAAGAGGGCAGGCTCAAAATCGAGATCAATGGTCTTACAAAGTCCATTGGAGAAAACACATGTGCACACCCCAAAGGAAGAAGGAACGGCAGAGAAGCCAGAGTCTCCAAAAGTGAAAGAACCTCTCATGTAGGATGAAATTGAAAAAGTGCAAATCTTGGTGACCAGACATTCCACTGCTAGCAGGCAAAGAGGGAAAGGCTAAGCCTGGATGAACAAAGAGTTGAAGAAAATGCCTAGATGTAACAAATATCGTGTGGGTGCGAGAAAGGAGTTGAATACTTGACATATATATGGGACAGACATTAAGTCAAACGGAAGAGCACAGAATTGGAATATGCAATTCCAATGGATAAAATGTAGAAAATGACAGAGGATGTGACAATCGGGATGCATAAGACGGTGTCTAACACACTGACCTTGGTTATCCTCAGACCAGGTGAAAATGACCTCTGAAGAGAAAAGAAGTTCTTCAACCAGAATGGTAGAACAACCAGAAGTTTTTTGTTAGACAATAGATGCTAGTCCCCAATCTTTCCGGGGATCACACAGAGTTAAGAGGAAAAACCCAGAGAAGAGGTGGACACCCTCTTGAAAGCAAATTTGGCCAAAAGATCCATCACATCATCAGTGAAATGCTGAAGATAGACAAGGTTGGAGGGAGGAGAAAAGGAAAAGAAAAGAGGAGTGAAGAGAAGTGGAGAGAGAAAATGTGGGAGAGGAGAACGGGAAAAGCCTATTGGCAAGAAACCAAGACCGATGGCTGGTAAAGGGAGAGAAATGGGTAACCACTGGGCTGAACTGAACAGGATAGTCACCAATAAGAGCAACAAACCAGCTGTTGTGTAATGGGAGGACAAGAAAAAAGAAAAATGCCTGAAAGACAGGATTGGAAGGGTAGGGGTAAACTGAACCAGTTGAGGAACAGGAATGGAAGGGCATGGTTGAGAAAAAGGAAAAACATGGGAAGATCACGAGGACCGAAGTCATACAACATCAGCCTAGATCTTGAGTAAAACATGAAAACCACTGAAGGTTTTTGAGCAAATAAAGGGACCCTCACAAATACCACATACACAAGGAGGAGGAAGGTGCATATTAATGAGGAGTGCACCTAGACCCAATGAGTTCCAACAGCAGAGGAACAGACAAAGGTGGCAAAGAGAAGATAATGAACCTCTTCAGAGAACTCCACTAGAGCATGATGAAGAGCCCCAAACAAAAGGTGGAGGAGAGGTAACAAAGGAAAGGGAGGAGCTAAACAACGAAGATGTAAAAATAGAGATCTAAAGAGCAAAAAAGAAGGCAAAGGGTCTGCTCCACAAGCAGGCCAGAGAGATTTCTAAAGAAAAAAGATATAGCAAACTGAAGTACTGAATTTATGGAGTAAGGAATGGGAAATATTAAAGTACACAAGCAAAAGATAATGAAAAGAACATAACCTGAGAAAGTATATATTGAAAGCGATTGAAAGGTTGAGGACATTCCTTAATCAGTGAGGCATTACCCAAAGCAAATCAGGTCAAAATCATCGTCTAACTAGCCACTCACAACTGAGGAGAAAAAAATGTCGGCTGAAGGGACAAGAAGAGGAGGCCTAGTAAGCATGAGATAATCCACATGTGGAACAAAGGCTGTCGTGTCTCCAATAATGAATGAGCCTCCAGAAGACATAGTAGAAATAAGGCTTTTGTGTGTGTAACTTCATCACTCACACAGGACAAGTAGAAGTCACAATCACTTGAGAATTCATGTAAAAAACCAAAGCTTTTGAAATGAAA